TAGAATTGGGCAACACCTTATTCCATCCAATAGATTGAGTGTTCCAGTGAGCTGAGCCGAGGAGGTTGGCTTTCTAGACAGAAAAGGTCTATGGAAGGCAGAAACAGAACAAAACGCAGATTGGTTGCTTCAAAGTAATTTTCCTTGTAAAGATTAAAGCAGAGGGAACTAACTCTCTTATCATGCTGTTTAAAACTGGCCTGTTTGGGGATTTAGTATTATCTCTCTCTCTCTCTCCTGATTTCTTGGTAGGTCAGATAGGCAGCTTAGTTTTGGCTTACTGGCATAGAACTTCAGCGTGAGTAACTCCATTTTAGCTTGGTCTATTGGACCTAGTGCAGGAGCTCAGTCCAAACCTATGGCCTCCTATAAATTTTATTTAACAAGATTTTAATTTCCAAAGTTTTTCAATAGTAATAGTCCATATCTTATATGGTGGTTATGAGTAGTATATGAGTTAATACACATAAAGCATTTAAAACAGTGTTTGACACATTGTGAATGATCAGTGAACATTCATTTTCTAGTAAGTAGTTTGAGAATCTTGTGATCCCCTTTGATTTTGGGGGGATGGTGTGGGGGTTGTGGGGGCAGCTGACCTTCATGGGAATCTGAACCCTTGACACTTGGTGTTGTCAGCACCATGCTCTAACCAACTGAGCTAACTTGCAGCCCTGTGATTCCCTTTGAGATCATTATAGAAGGAGTTTTGAGTTTAAAAACTTACGTTCATAACACATTTTAAAAAGTTATTTACTAAAATTTCAAGTCTGGATACATAGCTACATTTAATTATTATGAACTTAGCAAAGGAAAGTTCAGGATCTTTTCCCCCCAGCTTTTTATTATGAAAAGCTTCTAACTGAAAAGTTCAAAGAATAACATTAGTGAACATTAATATGCCCTTCACCTAGGTTTAAAAAGAAGTTGCCATATTCACTTTATTCCTTGTACATGTATCACTTCTTTTCCTGAATCATTTGAAATTAACTTGCAGACATGAGTTTACCTTTGTAGACATATATGTGTTTCCTAAGAATGAGTATTTCTCATGCATAACCACAGGTGCTTGTTGTGCTTTTAAAGTTTAATGAGAATTCCGTAATATCTAATGTTTAGTCTCTATTTAAGTTTCCCAATTGTCTTAAATGTCTTCTGTAGCTTTGTTACCCCCAAAACCATCTGTTCAGGGTTTACTCATTGTGGTTAATTGTTGGGTCCCATTAGTTTCTTTTCATCTAGAGCAGGATGTCTACCTTTTTTCTTTTTTATGACATTGACTTTTTGAAGGGTGTGGCACAATTATCATTTTATAAGCTCTGCCTTTCTGAATTTGTCTCCTCATGGTTTCTGATTTGCTCCTGCATCACCTGTATTTCCTATAAACTGGGAATTAGGTGTAAAGCCTTGACTGGATGCAGGTAGAACATTTTTTGACAAGAACAGTTTATAAGTGATGTGGTGTAATTTGTATCATATCACATCTAGAAGTGGATAAAGTGAGGGTGACTCACTTAGTGGGGTTGTTTGATCTCTGAGGTGGTAACAAAGGGCCAGATCTTGCCATTTGTAAAGCATCGTTTCTCCTTTTGCAGTTAGCAGGTAATCTGTGGTACCATACACATTTTGTTCTCCAGCAACCTTTTACCTGATGGTTTTAGCATCTGTTGATGGGTTTCTAAATACAGAACTGTCTTTTTTTTTTTTTTTTTTTTGGCCTTGTAGTTAAGGTCCTTTGACATTTTCCGTAACACTTGAAAAGAACTTTTATAACTCTGCTATCCTAGAAATGAGATTTTGCTTCCTTATTTATTAACTTAAGGTAAAGATGGTGTGTTTTTCAAAAACTCAAACAAATTAAGTTCAGCCTTTTCCAGCCAAAAGAGCAGGATTTGTTTTAGGAAAAGCTCTATCTAATTCATCTGAATTTTCAAAGCATTATATGGCAACTATTGAAACAAAACCAGGGTTTGGTTAGTTATTACTCTTTAGTGTTTTCTTTTTGATTTGTCTCTTTATTACTTTCTGGTCTTAAGAGGAATTGGAATAAAATTAGGCGATTTAAGTATTTATTAATTGCAGCTCAAAAATGGGGAAGGACTTTCATCTGAAATTTTGCATTCTTACCTTGTTCACACAGTCCCTTGTATTCACTGCAACTCTTCATCTTTCTTAAAAGTTTTAAAAGTTTGTTAACAAGTCGAACTTGAAAATTTTAATGAAGTGGAAAGTAACAGAAAATATTGCTCCGATAAGCTTAAATCTGCAAGTGAGAAGACTGCATGCTTTAGAACATTAGTAAGTAAAGTTTTCATGTCATAGAATGAATTAATTTATTAAGCTAGGATAAATTGATATTTGTGAAGGTTAAAATTTTACTTAATCTCTGAAGTAGTTTTATAAAGGGGCAGAAAGAGGGAGTTGAAATCATGGGATTTTTTTTTAAAGTTGGCAAATACTGTGTTAATTATTGTGAGCTGATGGAAATATTCTAGTGGTAAGAGAGAGATGTATGCAGAGGACAAGGAAGGGATTGATTAACAAGTAACAGAGTTGAACTTAACATGGCTCAGGGATAGTTCATATGTATATCCAGGAGCAAAGGGTACAGATCAGTTGGTCAATTTGGTAGTGCAGTGATGAGTAGTTCTCTTTCATTTGCTTCTGTTTTTCTAGCAAATATCAAGCTTATCTGCTGAGCGTGTGGGTAGTATTGTTGAATGCTCAGTTGAGATAATGAAATTATAAATTTGAAGTGAAATTTTGTATGTTTTTCTTATCCATGTTTAGTTGTTTTAAGTTGTAAGCACCGTAGGAAGGGATTTGGGTTAGGGTTTTGCCACATAGCAGTGACAGGAAGAGAGGGTAAGAAAATTGAGAAAAGCAAGGGGGTAACTATCGTGATTGTGATAGACCATCCATGGGATCTGAGTGATGAGGTAATTAGGCCCTGAGGGAAACAACAGGACAGTAAAACAATTTTAATGCTATAGATTGGAGGTACTGGTTGCATCACAGAATTGTTGGGCTGAGAGTGTTAGTATAAGAAAACTGGAATAAGCGGTGGTGATTTTGAGTGTGGGATGCTTGAAATAAAGATTTCAGAGGTATTACAGTTATTGGTGATTGAAAAGGTCTTGGTTGTGACTTATGGAAGTAGGTGGCTGAAGTGCGCGGTAGGTAGTTTGAAGTGAGGATGTCTAAGAACTAAGGGAGCAGGTGTTGAAAGGATCATATGTGTGGATGTTGGGGTTGCCAGAAATGTTGATGGGAGTCATGGTGTAAAGGAAGTAAACCAGATACTTCAATAAGTGTGTGCAGATGACTGGAAGATTAGTAGGTAGGAGATGTGATAAAAAGGGATTGCTGTTATTACTAGTATTATGGTATGTGCTACCAAATTGAGGTTTAGGGGTAGAAGAAATTGTGTAAGGATATGCAGTGAGGAATATATAAACAATCACGATTTGAGGAAGATATTGATGGGTAGGGTCATATGGAGATAGTAGACAGCATTTTACTGAAAACAGACTGCCTTCTGGAGAGATTTGTGCAGGCAGGGAGAAAAGGGTGATAAGTTCCCATTAGATAGATTGCTGTGAAAAGAGAGTTGAATGAGGGAAGCTTAGATTTCTGGTGCTGAATGAGGTAAAAGAGGGATGTAAAGCTTGGTGTGGCTTTTTGGAGAGGCTCTTAGGGAAAAATAGGTAAGCAACCAGTTGTCCTGATGGCCTTCATCTTAGGCCTAGTCTCTGTAGGTCATGGAGGTGGTGAGACGGGCTGGGTGTAGCTTTTAGTAAGACCATGTGAAACATTGGAGACCTTACTTAAACCATGCACTGGTAAGAGTTACCCCCAGAAAAGGTGCTACTCCTGTTTTTTCTCAGTATATTTATTGCCATTTGACATACTATATATTTTCTTTACTGATTTGTTTGCTGTTCCCCCTTCCTACCTAAGCTTCAAACAGTGTGCATTCTGAATATTTTTGAATGAATTAATTATAAAGTCATTGGTTTTTAATCTGTCTTCCTTGAATAATAAAAAAAAGTTTATATAGTTTAGAATTTTAGCCAAACTGTTTTCTTCCTCCCACATTAGACTTTTTAATATTTTAACTATTTTGTTATATTTTAGTCTCTAGACAATTAATCATCCTCTTCAATTCTTAACCTCGTGAACACATGGCCATAAGTTGTAGACATAAAGAGGAATACACGAGAACTGAATGTAGTTATGTGGTTTGTGTTTTATGAGAACATATATGAAAATATGTTTCATTATGTGGATTGTAAATTCCCAGAACCAAATTTGGTTTAATGATAAAACTGCTTCCATAAAAAAAAAAAAAAAAAAAAAAAAAAAAAAAAAAAAACACTTAACATTTGCATAGATTAGGAAGTTTCTTTGAGGCTCCTCTGAAGTTACTGGACCTTTCCTCTAGCTTCTGGAAGTTTGGGAGCAGAAAGGGAAAAGCAAAGTCTTGTTGGTTATGATCCTTTCTCTTGCCCAAGACCCTTGACCCACTGATCTTTCACCTAGCTGTCACTGTCTTGAACATAACTTCCCAAGCTCCCCCCTGCCCCCCCCCCCCCATAACCCTGTACCTGCCACCACACTCTGGTTCTTTGTGTACTATAAGGGAGATGGGCCACGCCAGTCTAAATATTTTCTGAAATCCCCGCATCCACACTTTTCTGAGTTCTAGCAGCAGAATGTGTTTGTTAGCATGTAGTGGGGAAGCAAGCTGATCTCTGAGGAACTTTTGGGTCTTGCAGATGTCCCAGGCTTCCTCTTTTGAAGGGTCGTCTATGACCTCCTTTTCTTCCTTCTACTTTGTCCTGTCCTAGGAACCCAGGTCTCGGAAATAAAGTTAATTGCTTTGGGGCAAAGTGCATTTTAGCTAATACATATGTCTAAAATTTTGTCGTTTAATGGCTCACTAGGCATAATTTTGGTCTCTTGTTGCCCTAGTAATGAACTATTTCACTATTTTACAGAGTGCTTGTGGTTTCACGTATTTTTGCTGAACTTGTAGAAGAGACACGTGGATGGTGGATTAACAAGAACACTGACATTCTGTGAAAAGTTTCAAATTGGAGAATATTGAATTTTCACCCTAGTCCAGCAGCTCTGCTGCTCACTTAAATACAGATGAATGAAGACCCCATTCGGGAAGACACCTGGCCAGCGGTCCAGAGCTGATGCAGGTAGGCAATGAGGTTCTGCGCATGTTTTAGTATAGTGCATTTAAAAGTGTGAAATTGAAGAGCATTTTCACACAGTACCTAGTAGATTGCTATTCTTGAAGCTTTGTGATTTCCAGTATTTTTTTTTTTTAATACATATACATATGTGAAAAAACAGAGTTAGTTTCTTCAAAGGTAGGGATCACACTAATTTTTTTCTGTATAACCTAGTGAGTTATAGATATCCAGTAAATTTAGCAAGTGAATTGTAAGTACCTGTTTAATAGGATTATAGTAAAATAAAGGAGTTATTTCTTTCTGAAAGAAGAAATGAAAGTGAGGTTTTAGACAAGTATTGGATTTAGTGAAAATAAGGATATTGAGAGCAGCTTTAAGGAAAAAAGATAAACTTTGAGTTTTTTGTATGTTTCTGTAAAGGAACTTTACTAGTATGGAAAGAAATGAGTATTTAACAGAAATTACATTAATTCTTATTTTTGTGGCACACAGCTAACAACTAGAAGTTTAGACTTTTGCTGATTTTTAACCCCCAAAAGCAAAGACAAATAAAATTTTATAGGTGCACTATAAGATAGGTAAATGATATTTTCTTTAGGACTTAACATTTAGATATACATTTGAATGTTGAAAATAGTGTCATAACATTTTAAGGTTTTTTGATAATGAATCTGAGAATTATGCTAGCCAAGTTATTATTAATATTACAAGATGATTGCTGTGTGTTTTAGAACTATTTCTTAAATTTATTTACTACTGTTATTTGTAGATCCTTTGTAGAAATAGCCACAAGGATTAAGATTTCTGAGTACTGTTTATCTTATTTATATTAGGTTCTCTTTTATAAAGATTAAATGTTTAATATTTGTCAATAAAATTAATTTGGGATAGTGATGTCATCTGAGAGCCTATTATTATTCAGAATCCCAGCTCTTTTAATAGCTGTATAAACATTGGTGTATTTCTTAGCCTTGAGCCTTAATTTTTATCATTTAAAAAATGGGACTGTTAATGTAACTATTGGAGTTAAGGACTAAATGAGATAATAGATAATGTGTGTCAGGTAAACAAACACCTGTTTACCTAGGTGCCTGACACATTTAATAGCACTATGATTCTTGATCATACTGTTTATAATAAAATATTTTTATTCATTTCATCAATTGAATAAATTGTTTTCAGGTTTTTACTGACTAGTTAAACCTCTCAGGTGGCTGTCATTTGAAATAGTAATTCATTTTTCAAAGTTTTTAATGCGTGCTATTCAAATTCAGCACTCCTGTTTTCCTTATTGAATTGGAAGTTATCCTCTTATTAGGAAAGCTGGCTGATCAAAGTGTT